TTCACAGTAAGCTTGCTTTTGTATTATCATCTCTGTTATCTCCAGTCCTAAGGACTATAACGCACAGCACAAGTAATCTCCAGTCCCTTCAGTCTCTGTCACCTGAGTTGCAGAGTTCCCTTCTTTATGCTCGTGCTTAACTTTTCCCCTTCTGCAGACGTTTGCTGACTGTTCCTGCATTTCCTTCCATCAGTGGAGGCACTGAGCTGAGCATGAGAGAAATAGGAAAGACCCGTAAACTGCTCTTGAGGCTTGGTGCAGCCCCCAGCACCTCTCTCCTTCACCCTATGGCCCTGGCTGAGGTGGGAGAGAGGGTCGTCTGCCCTCCAGACCACCCTGGAAGAGAAGTGCTGCAAAGATAAGACCTTCCCTCTGATTTTTACATCTCAGGCCTCGCCTGCACCCCTCAGCCACAAAGTGCAGTGTGGTACTTCCTTCGCTTTTTCACATGAAATCAATTTTTAAAGCAGACCAATTACAGGAAATGTTTACAGCACTTCTCTGCTGCAGCATCAAACATTTAACAGCTCTCCTCATGAGCCATACTGGAATCCAGTCCTGCAGCATGCTGGAAGTGGACACATGCTGAAGCGGTCCCTTAGGAATCAGTGTACAGCAAGCAGGGGCAATGCCACACGGCTGGCAGCCCTGCCAGGAATTGCAGCCTGTCTGAGCATGGGAGCCCCGGCATCCCACAGACACGGCCCTGTGAGGCTGCACAAGAAATGGGGCAGCGTGGAGTTCACTGACTTCCCGCTGCTGCCAGGACTGGGACAATTCATCATCCCTGGCTGCGGACCCAAGAAATCATGTTCTGGCTTTCCACATCCTCCCTGCCTGGCGTGAGCTGCGGAGAGAGGTGTGTTCAATTGCTCAGGCCTGCAGGCAGCCCACCATCCCGTGAGCTGTACTGCTTGCACTCTCCTGTTGTGTAACCCGGTGAATTTGAGATGTGATGAGGACTTCTGTATCCTTTTTAATGTGATGGAGACGCATCTGGCATGGCAGAGAGCAGCTGCAACAGGAGGCTTAAAAGCACTGCAAAATGGAAGCGCTATATTATCTTAAGGAACCAGGAGGTGATGCTGATCATTGTGACCAGATGAAGCTGGATAGAAGCTGTGCTTGCCCAGCACCTCTGATACCTGGACCTTTCTTGGGTGAAGTTTAGTACCTGAATGCTGAGCCATCTGAGAAGGGAATTAATTTTGACAAAAAAAAACAAGGTCACATCTGCTTTGCTATCCCTGGTGTAACCACGGTCCTGCAGGTTAATTTATCTTTAAGCTTGTTAACTAGCTTGGAAAAAAATCACAGTGCAGCTGTACTGGCAAAGAGCTTGGTGGCCAAGGAGAAAAGGAGCTGGGTAAATACTGTGTGGAGTGCACCCCGGCTCAGCTCTGGACTACTGTAGCTCTGCAGGGCTACCTGGCTGAAAGCAGGCTGAGGGACTCGAGGTGAGCTGGTGCCAGTGGTGCTGGGACCAAGATCTGAGTCAGAGCTTTGCAAAGTATTTAGCTGATTCCACTTGAACATCAGGAGTGAGGCTACATTTGGGAAGATAATTACTGAAGCACACTTTGGCTTTTTCTTGGTGGCAGACCCAAATCTGACAGGAATGGGTGTAGGACAGTGTTCAGTCTCTGCCTATTTGCAAAGTGTTGCGCTGCCACTGTCCCACGCCAACACTGAAATAATTGCTACAATTATAAATCGTCCCTTTTATAACAGCATGCTGATTATTTACAGTGCAGAGACTAGCCTTTCTCTTAAATTCTTGTACTGGTTGAGAATGAGATGAATCTTTCCTGCTGTTTGAATCAGACAGGAAAAACAAACATGCCGTCACCTTTAATTTGCAACAGAGAGGTCTGATTCTTTAGTCATAGTTGAGTTTTACACCAATGCAATTTTATAAATTTCCATCAAGTTATTCCAGATTTGTACCAGCTGAAATGGAAAATGCCTGCTTGATGCGCAGATTAAGGCTTGGGAGCAAGGAGTACAAAAATGTGAAGCAGAAACTGGTCCATGGGAAAGGAATAGAAATGAGAAAGAAGAAGAATTATCCTGCTTTAACCTAATGTTGTTAATCTATATTGCCCATTATAATCTCGAGTGTCCTGCTTAGTGAAGTATGCAATCTGTAGTGCTGGTTCCTGCACAAGCAGTGTATCTAATATAAAGGACTGGCTCAACATCCATCATAATAATTACTGTGTCATAATTTTCTGCCCTTCCTACCTCTGCTGCAAAGAGATAGAAGAGGCCTTTCAAGTGCTTGAGAATTTTCACTAAAAATTTCTCAGGGTTTTCTTTATATGGAAATCTGTATTTCTGCCCTATTTATTTTGCAGGTCTGACCTGACATAATGAAATGTACTTTATTGGGGGGTGTAGGAACTTAATTTGAATATCTGAAACTGTGCCTATTTCATTCAATGTCTGAATTTGCTCAGCTGCACTGAAAGGGAGCAGTAGGCATATTAGAAGTTTCATTTGAAAAGTGCTCCCAAAAAACCCTTTGATTCGGTGACCCACAGATTCAGAGACTACTTGACTCTAAAGTTAAATAGGAAGCAGTTTCATATGGTCATTGCAGCTCGGAGTGGTTAAAAATTGGTCTCTGCTCAAGTCTTTTGTATTGAAGGAGATGTAAGCAATTTCAACAACAACAAAAAAAAGTGAGCTCTCCCAGATCTGTGAGATGGCATAATTTTGGGCCCCAACTCACACGCGTGTGCTTGGAGCACCTTCTTGGCTTTATATTTTCGTTAACGTTGTTAATTTTCATAGCTGTGGAGTACAGCTTGAAAGTGTGATGTGCATGAAACCAGTCTAATCAATACCCCCAAGACCTCCGCATCTCGACGGCAGGCTACCTCCAGCTGCACCCCAGCGGGTGGCTTTGCCTGTGCAGGAAGGATTGTGCAGCAGCTCCTTGCGAGCATATCTGCCCTTATTACATTGCACCCTGGCAAGACATGTCCATTTAGGCAGCAGAATGGTAGCGCTGTCCCTGTTCCTGCAGGAGAAACTGATGCCCGGGGCTCTCTGCATTGGACCCTCAGTGTCTCGGTGCTTTGCTGTCTGTGTTTTCCTGCAACAACAGCCCCATGCACGTTTTTAATGTCACTTCTGCTCTGGTTTCTCTATTGCTGGGGGGCTGTCAGACTGCAAAGCAATCATTTACATCTGCATTTGGGATGCGTTGGTGAAACCCAGAAACCAGCTGATGGGACCTTCACCACAGGACACAGGGCTATACATTCAAAGACCCTAAACTGTAGCAAAATCGAGTGATAGCTTTCGGAGATTAAGGCGGCTTGCATTTTTACATTAATACTTCACTAAGGGAAGTCCACATAAAGGGTTTTATTACACAAAAATATAATGCAGTCACTGAAAAGCAATAGAGATTTCTTCCTAAATGTACCGTGGTAAATGCTACTGAGGAAAATACAAAGTCTCAGTTCCACAAAGGCATCCACTTGACAGAAAATGTAATTGGGATCAAGACCTGAACTGACCTTATTCTACACTCTAGTTGTGTGGTTGTGTTTGTTTATAGATTTTGTTTTTACTTTTAATTATAGAAACATTTATTTTCTGCCTCTAGATGTTTTAAAAATTCCATCTTTTTGATGTGTAAGTGCAGAAAAAAACAAAGAATATCTTTGGACTCTGCTTTAGAAAACACAGCTAACGTGCTCAGTTCTCAAAAGGAAAAGAAACAGTGGAGAGTGATATAAGCATAAGATCTTTCCATTGAGTCCGTGCAGTTTACTGATAATTTCTTTGGCTTTATGAATTGTCATCTTTCTCTTGTTGTGCACTTTTTTCTTTTTTCATACACTGTTGTATGCAAGAGCTTTGGAAACATATGCCAGTGTGCCTGCCTTTGCACGCGTGAGTTGTCTTAATAAGAGCTGAGACCTGCATGGGTAGAGCCAGTTGCATTTTTCTCTCAACTCTGTAAATGTTTGCAGGTCGGTTGGGGGAGGTCCCTGTGCCTGCCTGGACAGCATTCTGTCTCTGCACAAACTGTACTTTCTGCAAAACACACAAAAATAATTTTATCTTTCATCTCTTTCAGCTACAGTAACCTTAACAGGTACAAAAAATAAAATAATGACGTTTAAGTTGATGATGCCCCTCTTAAAGATATAAAAACCGACTAGATTGAATATGAGTCCTGAGGATCCCCCACTGCGGGATGAGCTTCCATCCTGCAATACGACCTGGGAGAGATTTTTCTACTGCAGAGGAATATTCAGCAGTCTCAGTAGCAAACATTGAGCTCAGCTGCAGCTGGCATTAAGACTAAATTTTTGAACATCTGAATATTGAAAGCCTTTTAAACTCACCTAATATTATTCTATTACTGAAACAAATCTAACAGTAAATTGAAAAAAAAAATAGGAACCTTCTAAAAAATATGCCTTCCCCATCCATTTTCAGCTTCAGTATTATGTAAAGATGACAGTTATCAGCTATGTAGAAGAGCAGCTATATTAAATGTTAAATAACCTTTAACAGCACCAAATATTTAATCATAAAAAATTAAATTGACAGTGGTGTGGTTCACATAGTATCCCCTCGAAAGCCTGACAGCATCATTTCTCATATATATTGATAAGTACAAGACATCCATAAAATCGTAGGCTCTGTAGCCTTCTATTTATGAGATGCTATCTAAAACTCATGCATTGCAGGTAATATCAGTAAGTCAATTCAGCTTAGTCTGATAGCTCATAACTTTTCAGACTGTTGTATTTACTGAGCCATAGACTATCCTTTCTTCAAGTGTACTTGAGAAAATGACTTGTACTGTAAGACTATTTCTTCTCAAAGCATAATCAAGTGCTTTAAAACGAACTCCATAACTGCAAATTCAAAACAGTATTAGACCTTGGTAATAATATAAAAAATATTGCTTTAATAATGCTTTGAAAGTTGCATGGAGTATTGGCAGTATTTTTCTAACTGTGGTAACTCACCCAGAAAACCATCAGTGGGAGTCTGGTGCCAGGCTTAGGCATGTCTGACAGGGTGGCAGAAGCCCCTGTCACAGAGCTAATAAAGCTTCATTTATAAATGGAAGAAATTCCTCGGTGTGTGACGTAGGTGACTGTGGGTGGAGAAATAGCTCAGCAGGGAGCAGCGGGCACCGCGGACCGCTCCGTTGTCTGGATGTCCAAACTCACACCTCCTGAGCAGGAAGAGAGCAAGTCTGTTGTCTCTGCTGCTGTTGGCTGCCTTTATCTGTTGCTGATTTGTTGGGTGTACCGTAGAGTTTGGTCCTGCTCCTCCTAAAATAGTAATAATTAACACGTTAATTGTGCTTCTAGACCAATCCCTTACTGAGGGAGACTGTCCTTTCACGTTTGCTGTTCTGGCAGCACAGCAGAGATGCAGGCAGCAGAAATTAACAGGTAAAACTGTCCTGAAAAGGCTCTAGTAGTGCTTTATTTAAATTGGCTTGGATAGATTGTTTCTATTTGCGATTAGGGAATGGAATCAAAAACCCATAGAAAAACTCCTGTTGACTTTAACAGTCTTTTCACTGAGGATTAGAGCTATGTATAGAATTTGCTTGTAAATAAACTGAATTTACAAGAGACTTGAACATATTGGCCATTATTAAACTGAGTCAAATAAAGTCACAACTGCCCAGAACTGAAGCTTAATACCGAAACAGAATTTAGGCGATGACGTTCCCAGCTAGGGGACTTTGCCTTCCTGAATTGCTTATTCCTCTCATTCACCTGCATTTTCTGGGGCTGGAGCTAAAACCAGAGCGAGAAGCTGCATTTCCCGTTCTGTTAGCAATGGCCGGATTTGCTCAGCAATCACTTCTGTCCATAATTCAAGCAGTGAATTGCTGTTTTTGAGGACTTCATGGTGGAGAATGGTGTTACCAAGCTGTTTCATTATTTTTGAATTTCCATTTCACTGCTTTCTGGCTTCTGATGTTTAAACATCAGCTTTTAGTGTTGAAAACATTTTCTCTGGAGCCTGAGCTGCAAAGGGGAAGCTGTGTGCCCCGATCCATGGGCAGGGAGAGGGGGTGCCTCCAGTTACAGGGGCCCAGACTGTCTCTTTGGGGCTGTGTGAGTGAATGGTAGAGCCTTTGACACTGATGTCTGTGACAACCAAAGGGCTGAGAAGTTCCCTGGCCCCAAGGGACTGAGAGTTGGGGCTGAGGGCAGAAGTCGTTTACAAACATGGAAAAAATAGCAGGAGGTAGGTTGGGGGAATAGAGAGAGAGAGGGAGAAGAATGGAAGAGGGAATACATGTGGGGATTCTGCCTGGAGCAGGATGGGTGTGCAAGCTGCAAGAGGGGTACTAATCTGTCCAGGAAATTTTAAAAAATTCGAGTGTGAGAGCAATGCTCAGAAGATGAAGCAACCTGAAGGGGCTTTACTGGAGAAATGAGGAAGGACTCTTTATCAGGAAATGCAGTGATAGGATGAGGAGTAATGGTTTTAAATTGAAAGGGGGAAGGTTTAGATTAGATCTTAGGAAGAAATTCTTTACTTTGGGGTGGGTGAAATACTGGAACAGGTTGCCCAGAGAAGCTGTGGATGCCCCGTCCCTGAAGGTGTCCAAGGCCAGGTTGGATGGGGCTTTGAGCAATCTGCTGTAGTGGGAGGTGTTGCTTCCCATGTCAAGGGGGTTAGAACTCGATGATCTTTAAGGTCCCTTCCAACCTGAACCATTCTATGATTCTATGAAACCACAGCTGAGCAGACTCCATCAGAGATGTGTTGGACTGTGCAGAAATGACTCACTTCTCTTGCAAAAAGGAAAGGATCTGGGGTGCAGATAGGTTTTCAGTTTTTCTGGGATAGAAGTGCTGGTGGTAGCAAAATTGTTACCTGAGAGCAAAGGTATTTACAGCAGCATGTCAACCTTGGTTGGCCGAGCCATGTCCAGAGCCGCAGCCTTGCTCACCATGCAGACAGATGAACGCAAGCAGTGGTTGACCTGCAAGAGCAGCAGATCAGTGGTGAGTGCTCAGATATAGGGCCTCTGTCAGCCTGATAACTACCAGGACTGAAGGGTCATCTGCCTGATGCCATAAAATTCTAGCAGGAGCAATTGCCACTCCAACAACAGGGGAAAAGGCGGCGTCCTGGACTTGAAGGTTAGAGAAAGGCAGAGGGTTAAAGTAAGACAACTACACAAGATTTGGATGCCCAGAAGCATACAGGGGCTGTGACAGCCTGGACCAGAGCAGGTGAAATCTGTTTTGTACAGTGGTTCCTCACTGGAAGTCGTCAGAGGAGAATATAGAATCATAGATTATGAGGTTTTCTGCTGGGAAAGTTCAATGTGATTTGGTTTCAAGTTGGGAAAATTTGACAAAGACATTCTATTTTTTTCTGTCAGTCATAGGATCCCACAGATGTTCTATCTCGAGGCCCCATGGGTGTCCCCTTGCCCAGCTAGGTTATCACTCCCTCGATTGCCTGAGGGACTTGCTGCTGTGTCACAGGAGTCCATGGGCAGCGTCTGTGCTGTGGAGTCCAAAAAGGGAAGGGAATTCCAACATTTGATACCCTTTTTTGTCTTAATTTGGAACAAAACCACAAATTTTGAAATTTTTCACAGCACTGCTGCCTAATTTGGAATTAGAGTGGTGGGATAACATAAATGCATGTGGTAACTGTATAATAAACCTGAGTTCTCATATCGTGCTCATCATGATCCTAAAATATTTTGCCAAAGAGAAAGGCTGCTGACTCTATCCCCATTTTATAGATGTAAAATGAAGACAAAGAGAGATGAATCGTTTTAACCTGCAGATAAATTGATTTACTGAGACTGAGCTAAAAATGGTCACAGTCTAATCATCTCTGCAAACTTGATAGCACAATACACCAGACAAGCAAGAACCCGGTCTTTGCCTAACACGTTCACCGAACACATTGAGATGTTTGTCTTTCTCTGGGGCAGGGATGTCACTTGCTGACACTGCTGGTAACACACGCAGGTGTCTCTCACAGCTCTGCCCTGAGTCTGCAGCAGCTTGTACTGGATATTGCTGTGCAACAGCCTCCCCTGCTCCTAGTTTGATAGCTCTTGTGCTTTGTACACAGACTTTATCTTTCACAGCAAGCTGTCTTTCGGTTTGCAGGTGCCCCCTGTGCTGTGTGGCTGGTGAGTGGCCAGCTTTCTGACTGCAGCGTGGAGCTCAGCCAGGGCACGCTGCTAATGGTGCTGCCTGAGTGCAAAGCGTTTGGGGATCTCTCCTGGCCACAGGGGTTGAAATATTGTTTTATGTCCTCTGAAAGGCTGTAGTTGCGGCAGCACCAACATCCTCGGTCAGGGTGATCCCAAGCAGACCTGTGTCATCCAAGTTGACACGCTGAGACTGGACTTCATCTCTACATATAGAACAACATTTTTCTGTGAACAGGTCAGTGGAAGTGAGAGATGCTTGGATTGGAGATGAGTGAGTTTAGGAAAAAATATTGTTGTTGACAACTGCAGATGTGTTAGAATGAGAATGGGTAGCAGGAGTGGGCTGGGTTCAGTGAGGGCTTCACCAGGAGAGGGTGCATGGAGCTCCTGCTCACAGCTGATGGTCTGGCCAGTGAGTGCAACCCAAATCTGTCATGTTTCAGGTAAATGCCCAAACTTTGGGAAGTCAAGATATCTGCAGCAGTTTGCTGATAAACTTAATAAACTGCAAAATGTCTTCATATTTTATTGCTAGGACTGAAAATCTCTTCCAGGATCTTGACAACAGGAGTAGCTAGAGCATGTAGAGAAACTTCCTTTGTACTGTGCGTGAGGTGAAGTATTTCCACATCTTGGAACCAGCCTTTCTATTTGAACTCAGTCCTTATGGGCAGTTAACCTTGGTGCTACTACTCCTTCTGCAGCATCCATGTTCCAAGCAATAATAGGATTAATTGTTTTCTAAGCTGGTAGTACATCTTTTAACATATGCAGTATGCAGGAGGCAGGCAATAAATAACTGAAAGAAGCCTACAGAGCAGTGGCTCCCACTGAGGATTTTACTGAGCATATAGAGAAATTGATTCTGTTAAACTTCGCTTGCTGGAGTGGAAAGTTAAAGAGAGAAAAAATGCTAAGAAATAGAGTGGTGCACAGGACTGTCACCTTCATTTTAGGATTCTCTCTATAAAATGTGCACATCACAGGCTTGGAACAGCTTCCTAAGGAAAAGGAGCTTTGGTACAATGTCTCAAGGGCAGAGGGAATCACAGCACTTGACATGCTGTTTAAAAGGCTGAGGGAAATGCTTTAAAAAAGAATCTCTGTCTGTTCCAGATCCTGGTTCAGGGTCCACGTGCAGTCTTTTCTCAGTCAGCTCTTCCGATGGAAACAGCAGGATGCCAAACTGAAAATGAAATGTCTGCAGGCTGTGAAATTTGGCCCTCACTAGACTGAGACTCTGGTCTGGAGACTGGCACTGTTTGGGCAGATGGTTGTCCCCATGGACACCTCATCATCTCCAGCAGAGCCCTGGCACTCTCTGGGAAAATCCCCTGACTTTTCACACAGGAGAATGAGTGAGAGGACCAGAAAGGTCCTTAATGGCATGAAAATCAATTAATCAAAGAACTAATCTTTCAGTTTCTTCTTTCCAAGGGAGCTCCCTCCTCCTTCCTTAATCAGAGCTGCTATAAACAGGCTCTTTTCCAATATGTATTTCATACCGGTGCTCTCCATGTGCCCCTCATTGCTCTAAAGAGGGACCTCTGCAAGGTACAGGGTTTGATGCATGGAGTAAGTGCCAGAATCATGGCTGGGTGCTTGTAGGTGTATTTTAAGGACATAGACCCAATTAACCTCAACCTAAGCTATTCTAAATAGAGATAACTGCTTTTTTTGTTGTCACTGTTGTCATGGACAGCTATTATATGCTCCTGGAGATGCCAGAAGGGCTTTTCTTCTAAAATAAAAAGCAGTGAAATGGAAGGTCCCCTGCTGCAAACATGCCTCAAATTTGCTGTGCTCACATGGCTGATCCCCTTGATTTCCTGGGCCTTGTTCCCAACCCCGGGATGGAAGGAGCGCTCTGTAAGTGTCTCTCTTCCTCCTCCTTTTCCCTGAGGTACCGGCTTACAGTCACTGT